TTAAAGCTGCTCTATACCGAAAACATTATTTCTTATATTATTTAAGTAATTATAGGCAGCACACTTTAAAATTTGTTGCTCACTATGGTGAATAGATGTATGTTCTGTTTTCAGGGATTTCGAAATCAAAAAGAAATAGAAAACTATTCTACTGCTTTTATTAAGTAATGAAACATTTTGTGTGAAGAATCGTGATGCATTTCAGACTCAAATCGAATCGTTAGGCAGATAATCGGAATCGAATCTAATCGTGAGGCAAGTAGAGATGCACACCACTAGTTTTGTGGCCATACAAATCACACATTTCATGTCGTTTTCTGATAATATGCAGTCAGTCAACAGATTTCCATAATGCTTACATTGTCTTAACAGAGAAGCTATTCCTCCCAACAAAATTATGGATTGCTTTTGTAGTATTTGCGAATGTTAACACACAACATGCCACAATAGCAAAAACAATATTCCTAACCTCAAATGCAGAATAAAAACCTCTGCTTCTGCAATGATGAGTTCAAAAACAATATAGCTCAGTTGATAGTAAAACAAAATGAATAATTTACACACAGCTGATGTATGTTGGGTAAATTGGGCCTACCACAGCTGATTACATTCAGGCTTAGACTCAGTGGAAGGTGTTATTTTTTTATGACATTGACACTAAAATAAAAGGGGGACTTTGAGGTGTCATGTTTTTGGAAACAGAAAAGACAAACATTGCAATGTCTGGACGAGGAAGAGTAAGAGCAAGGGACCCAGGGAGAAAAGCAGGCCCAGTGGAAGGGCAAGGTCGATGCATAAGATTGCGTGGTCGTGGCATTCCAAGGGCTGCAAGAACAGTAGTCAGTGATGAAATTTGTGCCACCATCGTTAACCATGTAATCAACCATGGTCTTTCACGGAGAGAGGTTGGCAGCCCAATTTGAGTCGGTCAACGGTTGCCTCCATTATACGCTTCTTTCAACAAATTAACAGATATTTCATTTTATAATTGCTTCTATTGTCACTTGAAATGGCCTGTATTTGATATAGCGCCTTCTAGCGTCCTGGAACCCCCCAAGGTGCTTTACAACACAATCAGTCATTCACCCATTCACACACACATTCACACACTGGTGGGGATGAGCTACAATGTAGCCACAGCTGCCCTGGGGCGCACTGACAGAGGCGAGGGTGCCGAGCACTGGCGCCATGGTTCCTCCGACCACCACCAGCAGGCAACGTGGGTTAAGTGTCTTGCCCAAGGACACAGCGACAGCGACAGACTGAGCGGGGCTCGAACCTGCAACCTTCTGATTACGGGGCGAGCTCTTAACTCCTGTGCCACCGTCGTTGAAGTATAAATTAGGCGATACGGTAATGCTCGTTTTCCCTCTAAAGAATGCAACAGCTTCCTCCCGTTGAGGGAAGAGGAAAGCTCCTCAATAATGATCAAGAGCTTGCCATTGCAGAAATGGTTGTAGCAAACATGCAATATAACTGCATGAAATTCAGACTAGAATAGTGGAAGGCCATGAGATATCTGACAATACTGATAGCATCAGCTTCGCAACCATTAAACGGACATTGTCCAAACACAGAGTGAGGATGAAGCAGCTCTACACTGTTCCTTTTGAGAGGAACAGTGACAGAGTCATGGAGCTACAACAACTATAAGTCCAGGTATAGTGTATATCCTTTTCTCAACTCCATTAAGAAGTTCTTTTCTGCATGGAGGCGGAAGGTTTACGACCATCAGCCGCATGACAACACATCCCTCCTGGAAGCTATGGATGCTGGCTGCAGGGACATCACGGCTGATGAATGCCAAGGGTGGATACGACATAGTAAGCCGTTTTATCCCAGGTGCATCGCTTTGGATGATATCAGATGTGATGTTGATAAAAACACGTGGCCTAACCCTGAAGATCGCAGAGATTAGCTACAGTCATTGTGTTTTGCAGTTGCCTCCTTTGTATCTGGGCTTTGTGCTGTTTTTCTTGTTCGAAATGCTTTTGTTTGTTTCATTGATATTTTGTTCACTACGAGCAATACTGTAGAACTTTTCTGCTCTGTCATACCGTAAACATTATTTCTGCTGTACCTCCTGAAATAAACAGTAAAGGAATTGGCTTTTTACTGGAATGCTTTGAAATGTGCACTTTATATGTGGACATAGTTCACAACTAGGAATGTAAAAAAATATCGATATAGCAATATATCGCAATATTTTTTCCTGTGATATGATATCGATGTTCAAAAGCTGTGTATCGATTTTTTTGGAAGAATTCACATGTAAACATTTGTGTATTTTCTTTTCTTTTGGTGCAAATCAAATGTCGTCCGCTAGTCAGCAGTAGTGTGCAATAGAGTTTGTTTCCACCACTGAAATGTAAATCCCTCTATTATGGTTCAGATACCTCATGTTAATCATGTCAAGTATCAGTTTGGACCATTTATTGAATTTTCCTACAATAATTTTAGTCTAAAAAAATCGCTAATATTGTCTGACTGAATATATCGCAATATATCGTGATATATTATATCGTCTCCCCTGTATCGTGATAAGTATCGTATCGCCAGAATTTCGCCAATACACATCCCTATTCACAACCAAGATCATGGATTGCATGTTTTGCATGCAAATACTTCTAAAACTGAAACATAGAACTATGTGGTTTTTGTGATGTCAACAATCGCCAGTATTTTGAAACCTGGTGTACTTTGATTGACTGAATGTATCTTGTGAAGTGAAATTTTTGACAGAATAATTTCACTTTGAGTCAGATGTCCAGTGTTTGGGTAAAGATAGTGTGTGCAGAGAAAGGTATGTTCTATTTTGAAATGAAGAGTTAGTATATGTTTATCAACGTGTGTTTTTGAGAAGAAAATGTTCCATTTGGTAAATCGTGTTTTGTAGGAGTGAATCTGTGTTAAACGTTTAGAACAAGTATCTGACATTTGGGTGAGAGCTTGTTAGGGATTGAAACACCCAGAACTCACTTTCTTCTAGGTTCGAAGGTTCTGATAACATCACATTCACACATGATCACACCTCACATTCCATCCACTTAGATCCAGTCATCACATAAAGTGTTCCCTAGTTGTCATGCTTCTAATAGTTTAGAAAATAAAATTCTTACTTTTTATAAACCCGACTGCCTGAATTGATACGAAGTGTGTTTGATCCCTGAAAAAGCAAAGAATCCTAGAATCTTCTGATTAAACACTCAAAGACCAATAAGGTTGATATCCTATATTTATATAAGTAAAGGTAACGTATTAAGCTTAAAAGCAACAATATTTAACCCTACATTTTACACTTAACAGTTTTTATCTTGCTTTTCCCCGTTTTGATCAAATGTTCTGTATAAATAGGGGCACATTGGCAGGAATCTGGAAATACGATATTAATCACAATAAGATGAAACGATACGATATATTGTGATATTAAATCACACGATTTTTGTCATTTTTAAGACCGAGTTTAATTGGAAGACTCAGGTCCAATGCTTCCAAAGACACATCTAGTGTTATCACAAGATCTCGTTGCTTGGTCAGAATTAATTGGGAATCATCTGCTGCCACCTAGCAGTCAGTTTGAATTGCACAAAAAAGAAATAGTTAATGTTGGGGGGTAAATTCTCAATTAAATAAAATGCAACACCATTTTCAAATAAATATTCAGTATCATACCACCGAATGTCGTTTTCCAGTTGAACAATATTTCCTAAAATATGTTGTTTTTTTATTAAAAGCAGAGGCCTGATAGAGGCCTAAGATTTTTTCAGTTTGCTGCTTGGAAAAGAGGTTCTGGACAGACAATAGGGAGGACTAACAAAGATGTTGAGTGGCCTGGGTCACAGCCGCCTGAAGGAAGGATATAACGCGTTTGACTGCAGCATATTCATCAAGAAAAGTGTAAACGCTATTATTGAATGTTTGCTTTTGGGTTATAGTTGACGTTTCCCAAGCCTCTACCAAACACGGAGGGCAGTTGAATGCAGAGGTGGGTAGTAATTCAGCTTCAAATTTATTATGTAAATTGTTTATTGTGTCTTTAAAATACCATCATTTGTTCACAACTTTGTTTTTGTCTGAAAGATGAAATTTGAACATTTTTAGATCTGATGTTAGCAAGCACTCCGGTAGCGTATTCTAAATGTTTGTTTACTGTTGCATTTGGACAACTACTTTTTACTTGTTTGCAAATATAATGTAGTGCTACGCTTACTCGCGTGATTTATTTACGGCAGTAATGAAATGTCTGTGGTCCATTTGTTTCTGAGGTCATAAGAATCTACAGTGTCGATTGTAAATTTGTGGAAAATACCGATTCCTTATCTCCTTCACAAGTTTATCCTTGCAAGGAGTGTGTTTGTCCTCGTTCTGACTTTTGTATGCTGCTTCAACTTTGCCTGCCCCCCCGGCAAAGGGAGTCTTATGGGCCATTCCCATCTGTACCGGGTCGGCCCGGGCCGGGTAGCGTAGGTTGTTTACATATCTGGGTGGCCTGGTATTTTTCCGGGCCAACCAAGGCTCATTCTCAGCCCTCTTCTCGAGGGGGTCTGCTTCAGGCCGACCAGGGCCAACACACCCACTGCTGACAGCAAATTCACACCTTCCATTAGAGCAAGCCTCTGATTGGTGGGTAGAATCAGCCCACATGGGCTTAAGGCAAGGATGTGTGGAATCAACCGGGCCAGGCTGGGGCTACCCGGCCCGGGCCGACCCGGTACAGATGGGAATGGCCCAATACACACCAGGGGTGTGTGGCTGACAGGCAGGTCATGTGTCTGACAAAGACAGAAATGATAGGCATTATTTTATTTTTTTTTGAAGCACATTTTGGAGATAGGTGTTGGCCTTTCATTTAAATTATTTACCTTTTGAAAGTTGCACCTAGCTGGAGTTAAAACAAATGAACAAAGGGTAAAGCACATGCTGCTCTGATTTCAGCTCCTTTACAAATACCGAAAATCCAAAACATTAGAATTTTTAACACAACAGTAAATAAGATGGGGAAATTTTAACGAGCCGGTTTATATGACAACATTTATTCAACGTAACATCTCAGCCAGTTTTAGAAAATGAGATTTCAGGTGAATAACACATTTTATCATTTTTCAGTTTGATAAACAGAGGAGTAGGAAACACCTGGACAGGTGGAACCAGCAGTGGCTACGGTTCAGCCTTCTCCTGGGCTGCTGCCGTCACAAGGAGCAGGTTGCAGGACATGAACTGGACGTTTAAAATGTTGCTGCTGTTTCCAGTGTACATCCCCACTAGTTCACTGGACGAGCCATCGGGAGACATCCCAGTGTGGGAGTTGCAGATGTCCCACACACGAACGGAGTTGTCCATGGAGGACGATGCCACCAGGCTGCTGTCCGGGCTGAAAGACAAGCTGGTGACACTGTCCGAATGGCCACGCAGGTCTTTGAACATCGTCCCTGATGCCAAGTCCCAAAGTTTCACCCGCTGATCCTCTCCAGCAGACGCCAGGTACTTTCCGTTCGGCGAGAATGCGAGGGACAGCACCGGGCCGCGGTGGCCCGTGAAGAGGCGAACGGACGAACCCTGCTGGGTGCTCCACAGTCGAACCGTCTTGTCTGAAGAGCCAGTGGCAAGGTAGTTCGAGTTGGGGTGAAACCTGACGCAGTCCACATCAGAGAGGTGCCCAGCGTAAAGACGCAGCGGATAGGTGCGAGAAAACGTCCAGAGCCGAGCAGTTCGATCATTTGAGCTGCTAGCAAAATACAGGCTGCAGGGGCTGACATCCAAGTCCCACACTGGGTAGGCGTGACCCTGGTACAGCACCGTGTTGGTGAAGCTGCCCAGATCCCAGTAACGGATGGTCGTGTCCTCAGAGCAAGAGAGGAGGCCTGAGCTATCGGTCAGGAAAGCTGTACGATACACAGAACCATTGTGACCCCTCAATGTCTTTATCTCACTGCCACTGCTGTCCTCCTCATCCACCTGAGAAGTAATCACAAAACAGACTTCAGGAAGAGCACGACTCCTGCTATACCTTATTATAGCTGAAAATTAGGTCTTCATTTTACCATTTAAAGATATAATCACCAACTAAAGGTGAAAGCATCCTAAAATGTTGCCCTAAAGCAGCAAGTAAAGGGTTATTTGCATGTCTGCCTCATTTAAACTAAATATTAAGACTTACAAAAAAATAAAATAAAAAATTATTGGCTCATACATTATCGACTTTACCTGTATGTTAATCTAACAAAGCATTTGTACACACCAGAAGCAGATTCAACAAAAGCAGAGGGTTTGCAAGTACTAACACGACTGTAGATTAAAGTAGAGCAGCTAGGGGATGATGTGGCTTTAACTCATTTTTTACTGTTGTCACTAGGGCTGGGGGTAAACGATTATTTTTAAAACGATTATTCTGACGATTATTTTATCGAATAGTCGACTATTCTAATGACTATTTAGAAAATTAATCTAATGATTATTTTTCTATTGCACAATTAACAAAAACCAGAAAATCTCAAATAAATTCCTCAAAAAAATTGATAAATTCTTACTGTAAGAGAATAAACACTACAGGCCTTCCATTTTGTATAACACTGCTTTTATTGTGTTGGTTTTCTGGTGACGTGTAGAACCTGGGAGTGCAGGCTGCTGCCTGAGAGGTGGTAGAAGATGGAGTGTCTCCATGCTGCTTTGTTTTGGTCACTTATGTGCGTGAGGCGAGTGGTCTTACGGGTTAAACCAAACTCAGGTGATATTTTACACTAAACCGAAAACCCACAACACTCTAAATGTAATAAAAGGGAGATCTACACCACAAAAAAGATTAACTCTAAACCAAAACGTAACGGCTTATCCCAACGCAAGAAGCTGTTAGCGAAGATGCTAACAGTAGCTTTACCAACATTAAGTTCAAGTTACCAAGTTTAAATAAACCAAAAACACCCAGCAGCAAACAGACCAGCACGGAGGAGAGACTGCTACCACCAAAACAGCTCTCCTCATGTCTGAAAGAAGCTCCTTAATGAAGGGAGAAGCGCTCCCGGTGATTTTCTACATCTGCGACAGAGACGGAGCAGCGCACATCTGACCCCGGAAGTTGTTGTCCGTTGCCGGGAGACGAAGGGGCAAAACAGGAAAATAATCTAGTAGTGGACGGACGTTGTTCCGGGTCTTCGGTATTTGGCGGAGATGTTAGTGAAGGCGGAGAAGAGGGCGAACTAGAGGAAAAACAGGCAGATTCCTCCTCTATTTACAAACTCCTGGGGATGCAACAAGTGGGCGCGGTGCGTCGACTTCCGGATCTGACGTCGACATATTTTTAGAATCGAGCCGTCGACTTCGTCGAGGCTTCGCTACAGCCCTAGTTGTCACATCATCTATCTATCAGCAGTAAAGAGTTACAGCTTCATGTCACAAATGTCTCCCAGGAACTTTTAGTTATAATGAATGTAAAATTATTTAAATTCCATCTAGGGTCTGTCAGTTGATGTGGTTTCACCCACTAAACAGGATTATGTTCATGTGGGTCATCAGCAGGAAGTTATCAAAGCAAACATGGCTGGAATCAGTTTTACCTGTAATCTTGTTATTATTCTCTAAAGCCCCCTTCAGACAGGCCATGAAAAACGGAAATGTACAAAGCCGCCATCGTTTTTTTAACAACTGGGAATCATTTAATTCATTTTCAACAACATTTTGAAGGATATCACCAGAGATTATAGGTAAAAGAAACTACACATCGTCTCTTTAATAGCGTTATTTTTAGGGTAGTTTATTAACTCGTTCACTGCCATTGACGACTACAGTCGTCATTTGCATTTTTTACTGTTTGAGCATTGGAACGAGCCCCCGCGCTGAGAGAACAAACATCTCAGCCCTGAAGCCGATCTTCATCCGCATACGTCACAGATCACATGATCAGGAAGCAACACATCCATGTGTTTGGAGATCGTTTTGGGCCGTTCCTGTAAAAAAAGTGAGGCGTGAACCGGAAAAGCGTCTGCCGATCACAATTCGACAACAGATTATGAAAGAACGGATAACGCTCGAAACACATGGCTTCTTCCCGATCTAAGAGGTGAGTCTCCTCTTTGTTTTGGTTGTTTTGGCATCGACATCATGCTAGCGCGCAAAGTTCTGTGACTCTTAAAAAAACAAGAAAAACGGTGAGAAACGCTGGCAGCGAACGCCGTTAGTGATCAGGAAACGGCTGGCAGTGAATGAGTTAATTGTCGGGCGGTGGGGTGCCAGTGACAGCATTCCTCTACAAAGAGCTCGGACTAAAATGAACTTTATCTGCTGCAAATGTCATTTTCTGCCAAGCACACCAATGTCAGTTAACTATAGTCCAGCCTAAGATTAACCAATGGCTAATGTGAACAAACAACAAAGCCTTAGTGATATGTGGACTGATCACTACCTCCCAGATACGGGGGTGTTGAAGATGAAAGCAAATAAAAAGGTCTACTCACTTTTTCCTCTAGAATATCACATGCCAGGTGGATCCGGGACACATCAGCCTGATGCGGTTTGGCCTTCAGCTTTCGAGCTCGGAGGCTCCACAGTTTGACTGTGGAGCTGTCGAAGCCTGCAGCCAACAGCCGGCTGTCAGGTGACACCTCCGCGGTGTTCAACAACTGCTCCGTATGATGGAAGGCATAAAAACAGATGGTGGTGAGAGAGGGTGGGCCTTCACTGACCTTTTTAATGCAATCCTGTAGATTCTTGAGGGCCACCTCGTTTTGCGGCGTCCCGGCAGGAACCTCTATCACCTCTCCACCTTCTGCTCTATCTACACCTGCCCGGGAGGAAGAGTTTGACGTGGCCACGGAGCCACCAGCGGCTTCGTACAACTGGTAGTCTGTACGTGTTGTGGCGGTGACCTCCACCTCTAGGTGTGTGCTGAGAACCCTGCAGAGGGCGCTGTTTTCCTCACTCTGCAGGTAACGCAGCAGGTAGCTATAGGCCGGTTCGGTCAGGTGAACCACGTACTTGTGTTCCAGAAACATTCTCAATCTGGGGTTTGCTGCAACCTCCTGTACAGTGAGAACATGGCGGAGCTGCTCTATCACAACACGCTGCTCGCTATCCGAAAGAAAAGTGTTGTGGAAGCGAGTGTAAAAACTATCCATCGCTCCCTTCAGACCACAGCGCACCATGTCCAGGTGGAGGTAGACAAAGAGTGGGTAGAGAAGGCTGCTCACCTCCTGAGCCCAGGACATTTCCGTTTCTGTTGATGGTAAATAAAAAAATATTTAGAAGAATTGGAGGTGGGATGTGCTGCGACCAGCTAGCTGGTCAGTGGATGACGTACCTGAGAGAAAGGAGCGCAGCCTTGAGTACTGCGTCTCATACTGCTGCGGGTCACACTGGCAGGGCGCAGCAGAAACTACGTTGGCGTAACCGGACTCAGCCTGCACTGCTTGTGGAGAGGAGAGAGCAAGAATGTCAGGCCACTGTGTGTCTGAACCCCAACCCCGGCCTAGGAATAGCAGATGTGCTCACCTGTCAAGCTGGCGGCCATCTCTTCAGCTGACATTAAGAGTTTGGCTCCTTTCGAAGACACGTCGGTGTCCACATAT